CGAACTGTAGTTCGTTCGCCTAGAAAGTCTGCTGGATTTGGGGAAGTTTGAATCGAGCTCTGTTGCTGTAACTGATTTCTTGAAGCTCCCATTTCCTACGGGACAAAAGACACGATTGTCCACTTTCTGCCTTGCTGTTCAGAATGTAGGACAAATGCAACGTGAAGTCTGGAGAACCAGGCTCCCCTTCTGTTTCTCCCTTATTGACAGAAATGGTGTTTGAAAGTAAAAGTTAATCTAAAACTTTGAAATGTCAACAAGTTGTGTGCATAAATACACACAGAGGTTTAAATGAGGTTCTGCGATGTAGTATTATTGGTAATTGTTTGCTTACTGGTAGTGGAAAGATTTTCCTGATGGAAAACTTAAATCTTAGAAGGAAGGAATATGTTACTTTTCTCCACTTGTGCTTTTTGATTGACTTGCATTCAGGTTCTTGAAGATCGCAGCAGCAATCTGTCTGGCCGTTCTGAGACAGTAGAAACTAAAATGCTGTGCCTGAAGTTCAGGACAGAAGTTCCAGTGGCCATTTAAAACTTTTAGACAAAGAATTTGACAAACTGAACTCAGCAAAGACAGAGAGGTGGAGGATTGTAGGCATCTCTGGTGAGCAGCAAAAAATGATTTATGAGGAAAAATCATGTTTGCTACTTTAAACTTATCCGTCGAATTTGCGTCCACTTTACCTGTTACATGATTGCTTTACACTGGATGCTATTTTTCATTCTCAGCAAATTGAAACTGCAACTCAGAAAGAGTTTAATGAATCATTTAATCAAGGCTTGGTTTTCTCACACTGCCATTACACAAATAGTTGCTTTAGCAAACTGCTCCTCCAGCTGTTTGCTAAAGTTGGACATGAACATTTCTGTTCATATCCAACTTTTTACTTTTTTTAAATTTACTTTATTGGCAACATCCTACACAGTGATTTTTCTCAGATAGCCTCTTGAAGCTGTCTGGTGTCAAGGATTTTCCAAATTTTTGTTTTTTCAATATCATATCTGTTCACCGCCATCACCCTTTTTTCTTTTTTCTTTCTTGAATCAATTATTCCAAAAGCTGTGATAAGCCTGACAGATCTCTGAGTGGCTCCTGTTAAATATGTCCACTACTGGTGCTCGTCTCTTTCTCTGGGTGTCTTTTGTGAAGATGGATGCTAATTATGCCATCTGTATTTGGTGAGAGAGCAAGAGCCACAAGAGGAAACGGCGAGAGCAAACAGTGAGAAGGGATGAATGATTTAAAAAAATAATAAAATCTCTGGTTATGAGAAAAAAATGCATTTCTAATTTCTCAACACTCTTTTTTGTAGTAGTGTTTTAACTGTTTTTTTTCTTTATGCTCTTTCAATATTTCTAACCTTCTGTCTCTCTCTCTCCACTTTTATCCCTCCTCTACTCTTCAATCCCTGTCCTGATTATTCTACACTTTAGGCATTTTCTGTGAACCTTTTCAAACTCTCTGCCTGATCATTTTGAGTGCACACTCATGAGCAATATTTTGAAGTGTTGCACGCAGCGACTACACACACGTACATACACACTTCCACGGTGTGCATGCTCAGAGCCACACATGCGTGCAGCCGTCCAGTCATTTGTAGAAGATTGCCCAGTGGAATTTCCTCTGTTGCTTAAAACGGATTGAATTGCCTCTGCAGGTTTGATCACAAATCGATAAAGCATCCCCACAGCTGCCATCTTAAACTGTGTGTGGGGTCTGTCCGTGTAATTGTTATCTGGCTAGATTTTTTTATATACTTCTGTAGATCTTATTTATTCCTCATCCTTTTGATTTTGTTCCCTTTAAACTTCTTTGTGTAATTCTGTAGTTTAGAAGTTCTTGTCATATTTATACCATTACTGGAAAAATGTGTTGCTTTGCTGCTGTTTACCTACTTTATGATTCAACATACATTTAACCCAGGGTCATAAATGTTGTATAGCATATTCTGTGGAACCTTTCAGACATTAAATTGGCATTGTCACGTAAAACTGACCTTTTTTTAGCTTTAATATAATCGTGTTATAAAGTTATTTACTCATTAAAATATACCTGAAGTGTTTCCTTGATTCTTTCATGCTTGTTTGAGAAATCCTTTAATCTCCTATGGCAACCATTCAGCTGTGCAAAATTCCTAAATTGCAAAGTAAAATTTATTTTAAGTTATACTTGATAGATATATAATTTTTGTAACAACTTACATTAATATAGTTACCTGGTCATGCTATAAAATGGCACTTTGTGCCTGGAAAACAGATAATACTGCCCCTTTAAGATGAGATCCGATGTTAGAGGATGAGTCATGATGTGTTAGAGGTCCACAGGGACACAGTTTAATGTTTAAATCTGACTGCTTCAACACAAATTCAAAGTGCCTCTTAACTATTTCAACACAAATATGTGTCCTTTAAACTTTTACACTCTCCAAATTAGGTGTTTTGGAATTTCCTCTGATCAGCGGCGCACACTGCTCCCGAAACCTCTGACTAAGTTCAGCCTGACACTGAGCTCCAAAATGACTATAAACGCCTTAATTTCCCCAGAGGGTTTGATATTTTTCCTACAATGGTGCACTTACTGAAGCTTGCATGAAAACCAGAATAACTGTGGCGCCGAAGTGCACTTTTTCTCTGCGCAGTGTTTAACAAAAAGAAGGCATGGGAGCTGATGGGATCCAAGTCGAGAACAGACTCGTTAGTTCCGAAGGCTGCGGCGGAGGATGTCTCTGCCGTCTTTCAGCGCAGCTTTTGAAGAACTCTTAATGGATGGTGGTTCTGTCAGCAACTCTTCCCCTTGTCTGAAACTTGATTGCACTCTCAGTCAGCTGCAACACCAGCTACATTTCTGAACTCGGTAGTCTCTTGGCTCCATTTGATGTTGGCAGGATGTCCTGAGCTTGGCCCGCTACTTGATCATCAGCACTAAAAATGATTGATGATGCCTATATCCCATGGGATTAAGCCTCTTTGACCCATCTCAGACTGTTATATTTGGGAAGATGGCCTTGTCTTTTACTGCACTTAAAAAAATCTAATCTGACAGGCACTTATCTTTATGCGCTGCAGATGACTGATATTGGGTAACTTCTGCAAAAGTTAAGTCTGCAGGAATGTGAGGATATAAATCTTGTTCATTATCTTGTCATATTTGTGCCAGTATTCATATAAATACATAATATATGGATAGATAGAGCAGCCTCTGTGCTCACTCGGGGGTCACCTGAAGTTACTAGTCTGAACGTCTACATTGCCCTAAATTGCAGTAAATAAAATACTATGGACTAAAAAATGTGAAATCATGGCAGTTTTAAGGTTTTCTTACTATTTATGAGTCATCTATGCAAAGTGCAGAGAGACACAAAGCTTTTCATGGCCCAGTGCTTCGTGTTTTTTCTGTCTCCCTTCTTTTCTGTCAACCCACAGTTGCTCATGGCAGATGGTCACTAATACAATTTATTTCTGTTTAAAGACAATTGTTTCTTTCCATTGTCACCATATGCTTGTTGTAAAGTTTAATGGCATTTGCAAGGCATCCTCCTTAATTTAGCTTCATTGATAATTTCATTGATGGATAAATGAGAAGAACCACCACAGCTCAAAAATCAGTGAGTGTTAGAATATCTGGACACTTGGGTTTTCTGCCTTATTGTTGCTTAACATGTGTTGCCATATTCAATTCATTCTCCTTTACTCGTCATTGTTTCACTGGTCTCACTGTTTTTCAGTTTCTGTATTTATCCTCCAAGCCTGAGACTATGATCTGAGATGAGGTCCTGCCCCAATTGGAGGAATTAAAGTATCTTGGGGTCGTGTTCATGGAGGAGGGAACGACGGGGCGGGAGATCGATAGACAGATTGGAGCCCGTCTGTAGCGACTAGGAGAGAGCTGAGCCGAAAGGAAAATGATGAATGGATTTACTTTTTGTGTTTTGCTCCTTGTACGGTCAGATTTTGCTCCCTTAGATCAATGGTATTACTTTCTGTTCAGTGCCCAGTTTTAATTATTCATTTTAAATCACTACCTGTTGGCCTCTACTCCCAGCTGCACCCTGTTGATAATCAACCACCTCCTCCTCTATATTCAAACGTCTCAGTTTTCTGATGGATTCTCCGTTGAGTATTGTTGTCTCACTGCATCATATAAGTTCTTCTTGCTTTTTCATTGAGAAAAGTCTCGACCTCTACACTTGAGTCTTCTTCAAACCCCACTAGATATGAGAGGAACTCTTTGTAGAGCAGCATTCTTTTACCTAGTTACCATTTATTTGAAAGATAGACAAGGTACACCCACTGGACAAATTGCTACATAGACCTGTATAATTTCTTTCTGACACAAACAGTGAATCAGCCAATCACATTTCAGAAGCTCTTTGCATTTAAGCATCTAGATGTGGTGAAGAGGATTTGCTGAAGTCTAAGCCTAGCATCAGGATGGGGAAGGAAGAGCATCGGTATTGACGTAAGAGCCTTGTTAAATCTGCTGCGACGTGTGATGCTATTATGTCATCGTGGGCCAAAATCTCAGAGGACGGTTCAAACACCTTGTTAAATCTTTGCCACAAAGAATAAAGGCAGTCCTGAAGTGAAAAAAAGGTCTTGGTACGAGTTAGGTGTCTCTAATAAAGTGGCTGGTGGGAGTTTATATATAAAGGTCAAGCTATGGGTGCTTGTTAAAGTGACTGCAGCAGATCACACTTCTGCCATGTGATAAGTAATATGTGAGGGTTACTGTGTCTGACATACGTATTCTGCTGATGTACGTTTGAAGTGACACTGACAGCTGCTACACATCTGAATCTGAAATTTGAAAAAAATATTCAATTTTTCACTAATCGGCTTTGTTTGAATTTGCTTAAAATAACTGATCTGTGTTGATTGTCAGTTTAGCTTTAATCTTATAAAGCTGGTAAGTTAATGAGCAGAGAAATTTGATGTTTTGTGTTGTTGGAAAATTGCTTCCTATCAGACCTTGAACTGTGTTTGGTGTCTTTCATTTAGCTGGAGTTGATTCATTTCTGACTATGATAAGCTCAAGACCAACCTCCAAAAAACTAAAGAGGACCAGGCAGGCACCGAAGATGCATGGTTGAAGGAATGATAGCTGCAGTATGAAACACTTTTACACTAATCATTGACTCATTCCCATGTTCCACTCAATGAAATCACAGGTTAGTCAAATTATGTTTATGTTTTATTGCCACGTAATTACATGTTTCATGGTGATAACTCGCATGCAATGTAAATAAAATTGTAAAAATCTCTAATTTGCTACAACGCCGTTGGGCGATGTTTTGACGAGTTTCTTTTCAGCAACATGTAATTTGTGCTTAGGTGTAAAACTAACAGATTCGTACAAAGCACCTCGCCTGCAGAGGTGTTGCAGAATCTGCTGCCAGCAGGATCTGGCATAAATTAGCTCCCAGGTTCTTTTACAGCTTCCTCAGAGGGAAAAGCGCAGCATGAATCCTTTCCATAATGACAAGAAAATTAGGGTTGAAAATGCACCTTTTTTGCGTTTGAGTGTTAGCATGTACCTCTGCAGGTGACGTCTCAGAAGAAAGAGGGAAAATAAAATGAAAGATGATAGGTTGGGACTGAGAGAGCTTTTTTCTGGTGGAGAACAGCAACTGCAAACACACTTTGTGTGCATCGCTGCTTCATCCACAGCAATATGGACTTTCGCACTCAAACCTCTTTTACCCCATAGTGGGAAAATCATTATTTTCAGCTGCTATTCAATAGTCAAATTAGTTTTTTGACAGTTCACTTATGTTGCCACTTTTGTCCCTCATGTTCGCCCGTCGGCTGCAAGTCCCAGAGTCACCTCATCACCCTGTCATTGACTTTTCTTATCCTTGTGAATAAAATAGAGCTCACTCGGGGAGTTCTTCTGTGACCTTGGCCCATCATCAGGGGCTCACATCAATCTGCACAATCAAATATGTTTTTCATTTTCTTCATTTCCTTTGCAGAATTTTACTTCAGCTCACAGAAGTAATGGGAAATGGAAATCAACCTGCTGAAAATTGAAAACTGCCCTCTCAGGACCAGTGGATATCATGTATGTCATACCCTTCATAGATTATTTGTGTTAGAAAATCAAGCTGAGTTCTACTCTATCATTCACTTACCTGAAAACAAACATCTTACAACAATGCCAATCTTCTATGTTTTACATAATATCCCACAAATCTTTGGAGTGTTATGTTCTGCAACAACACATTCAATATTTACTTATATATGAAAGAAACGTGTCTTTTTAAAATACTTATTCAAAAAGATCGGTTTGGACAAGAAACTGACTGATTATGAAACATTAGAACTAATCACGTAGCTTAAATATAATATTTTACTTCGTGAGCAAAACGTGAAAATGCTTATTCACCTGTTGAACTTTGTAAATTTGGTCACATCACAACAAAGTTTATGGATTTTACTAGGATGTTAAGTGACCGACTAATGCTGTTCATTTGAATGCACATTTTACTTTAGTGTTTAAATAAAATTACAAATAAAACCTGGATCCTCAGTTCCAGTTTGGTGTCTTTTTCAGCCTCTGACAGCTTTCCTTCCCAGATTGCTTTAGCTCAATAAGACTCACTATCAACACTGGTATACCCGAATAAACCCAGGGGTAAAACACTCTTGAAATTATGTTTTAAATGGGAGCAACTGCTGCATCCATTGTGTTGTTTTGCTCTCCCAGCCATTCTTACCTTCCTCCCCTTTGCATCCGGATTGTTGTTACTTTACAGTATTATCACCTGACAGACAACACCCAGGGGTTGCAATTAACGTGGCTGCCTTCAGGTTTTTCGGTATTCAGAGGAGACGGATGTTGTGTTGCGTTGGGAAAAAAATTGTGTAATTTCTCTGCGAGGGAAATGCATTGCTGCTGGTTGTCCTGAAGGCCTGACATCTCTGGCCTGACTTGCTTTTCTCCTGTAGAAACGACTGAGTGAAGATTGTATGCAGAGGCATCACGAGACAGGATGAGATTATGGCCTGACATGCTGAGAAACATTGAGAAAAATCTGCTTCTCGCAAACAGGCTTCAATTTAGTTCTCTGCACCACCTCTGATGGACACTGTAGCCACTGTTTTTAAAATGCTCTTATCCATGAAAGAAATGTAAAAGCATTGATATAAATTCTTCGAATTCTGACTGTTTTTGTTGATTATCCTTCTATAATTCCTCTTTGTTTTTGCTTTCTGGTCCAAATGTCCCTTATTTTTTCTTCACCTTTTGTGTCGGGCCAAACGGAGCCGCTTCGTCGAAACGGCTTCCCCTCAGGTTGCACTTACTGCATCACTCCATACACCGTCACTACATATGTTTGCTCTTGCTGCAACCGAACAAATCACAATGCATTATACATGACTTTGTGACAATCACACAATACAGGAAAAATAATAATTTCCCCCAAGAACTATGTATTTGCATCATGACTGAGTTTGCACTGCCTCAAGCAAAACCTGAATCTTGTTTGTTTTTATATTTTTTTCCCTGTATTGTATATGTGGTATTGCTTCACCAAATATGCAGCTTGCGTTCGTTGTAAACAAACTTTAATGTAACATTGACCAAACTTTTTTTTTTTTAGTCTTATGGCGAGTTTTACAATGAGGACCAAATTACTTTGTTTAGAAAGTAATTTTAATGTTTGGCAAGTACAAGAACAAAGTGAAAACCATAAGTGGTCTTCAACAGCACTTGTAATTATGTAAACAACACAACACACATTTTTTATACCGTGCCGGTAGATTATGAGTGTGATGAAGATCCAGGTTGTTAGTCGAGCCACTCCAGATCCCAGAGGAGTTGAAAAGGAGGCTTCCTGGATACAGAGCAGGGCCAAAGAGAGAGCGGGAGGACGTTCCATCCATCTCCTCACTCAATCATAACGGGGAAGGATTTAAAGATTCTAACATCCCTCTGACCGACTTTCTATACTTGGCAACGTTGGAGCCAAAATGTATTCCATTACACACCTAACAGAGGCTACTTCCGTGTCACAACAGGCTACTGACCTGATTAACGAAAGGCCAGCACCTGTAACTGACCAGCCAGGACTGACAACAAATTTGTTTAACAATATTATTGTCCTTTTATGTTTTATGTTTGATATTTCTATTTGTTGTGATGTTGGATTTCAGTAAATTATATCAAAGTGGAAGTACAGTGGGTGACCAGCCAAGGTGTGTTATTCAGTAGCCTCTGTGATGCTAAAGCTAGTCTCCTTCTCATTTGGCAATGCCTCCCTCTCATTAATCTGACTAGCAGAATGCTTCAGAATATCTTGTAACAAGGAAGTGGTGCACAATAATCTTAATTTTGGACCCAATACTGCTTGAGCAAAAGCAAACGATGTGGATTCACAGCTAAACTACTGTGAAAGATCATCCCTGCTTCCCAGATATTTAGCTGTTAGCATGTTAAGAATGTCATAAGACTATTAGTTACTTCAGTCTTCAGTCAGAGGCCTCTTTTGATTCAGTGCAAGACTGACTGCTACTGGAGATCATTCCTGTTCACGACACCATTCATGACTCTGTACATACATGGGTGATATGAGTTATACCAACATTTAATTTCACTTTGGGATAAATACATATTATTGATTTGAATTTAAAGTCGTGCCATAGAATTCTAAAGGGATTGAAGTCCAGACTTTGACTTAAACACTGCAGAACCTTCCTTTTTATGTGCTTAAGCAGTTCAGAGTTGAACTTCATTGTCCTGCTGCATAGCAGAATTTATGTTTTTTATCAAATAATTCTGGTCTTAAAGCAGTAAAACAGCCCCAGACCATCACTCTAACACCAGCAGCTTTTGACTCTTGGAATACTTTTCAGTCATTCTTACAAAATTTGACCTCAGAAATATGTTTTTCCGGTAGTGGGTAATGGTTCTCTCTCTGTGGATTGACATTGAAATAGGTCCTTAGAAAAAGCTTTACAACCCTTTTCAGTCTGATGGATATGTGGGACTTTGTATATCAACTTTTCATAATTGTCCTTAGATTAGAGCATGATGTGTTGCTACTTCACCTTGTCAGATAATTTTGTTGATCAAAATTAACAGAATATCATTTTTTCACAGTTTCAGGTCAGTTTTTCAATTCCTCTAACAAGTTAAGTATTTTATGATTTGTGAAAAATATATAACGAAATAAATCCTTCTGGGGGTGAAGACTTTTTCACAGTGCTGTGCATCAAATGTTTATTTTGATGTTTTATTTGGTCAATTGCACCAACTCATGGACATCTCGGCGTTTCATTTCTTTACTGATACATAAAAAGAGAAATGAAAGCGTGTATATACACCCAAGAGCAAAAAAATGCCAGGTTGTATTTTGCTGCAGGGTAAACTGTGTTGCTTCCACTTCATGCATTTGGAGGAACTGGACAGGAGAGGTAAAACTAAAATTAGAATATATATATATATATATATGTATTAAAAAAGGCCTTTAAGGAGAGACAGTTGTGAATAATTTTACCATTCAGGCTCCTGCTGTTTAAAAAAATAATTTGTGTTTCTGTTTTTCTGAGTCAGTGTAGGGACACAAAAGGAAAAGCTCAATTTAATATGTAATCTCTTGCATTGATGTCAGTAAGTGGTGGGAGACTGGTTTTTAGTGGGGGGACTCTTCTCACCCTCAGGCACAACTTAAAAGGGACGGGGAAATTTCACTCAAACAGAATTTATTTTATATCTATTTCTTCATGAATTATTTTGAATAAGGTTTTGCATTTCTGCCCACAGGTTCAGGAAGGACTCAGCCTAAATAAACGTTATTTTCATTACTTATTGAGAAGTAAAATCTTAATGTTCTTGTTTGATTAATTAAATGACTGAATTTAAAGTCGGGAAAAGTGTCAGAAAGAGTTCAGTAGTTGTAGGGATAAGGCTCAGCCTTTCTGAAAGCAATACATCAGTATAAAACCATGTTGATTAGTTAACATTTGCATGTGACAGAGGCTTTCTTTTTTGCATATGAGGCTTCATCACTTCAGGTTTTACTTTTCCAGGGCAGAGAAATATTGAAATCAACTCCAATGCTTCTCAAAGATTGCATATATAAATGTCATTAATTGAAAACAAACCATGCTCTTTTGAGTCAATATTCATATCATCTCATTATCGCAGACTGCATATGATTTATTGAATTATACACAAACAGCTTCCATGATCAAACAGCTTTCACCGATTATATTAGAATTTTATGAAATGAGGAGAAGCCAGGTATCTTTCTGAACGTTCCAGTTTGAAATCAGCGTGGAGCTACTTCTACTTTAATCCAAAAACTTTCTCCAATCTTTACAGAAGATAGTATTTGAGTAAAAAAAAAAAAAAAAAAGTTCTTTAATTTCATCCTGACGAGATCCGGCGTCTGCGCTCTTAGCGCGTCATAAATCCAGCTTAAATCCAACAGAATTGTCTCTAGATGGGTAATTCTGTTACGCTTTACTTTTTTGAAGGAGGAAGAATGTCGGCTGGAGTCCGTGTAGAAGGTAAGATCGACACCAGAGGCTGGTGAAGAAATCTAAGAAGGCAGGAAGTGAGAAGACGTATAAGAAGGTGCCAGGTGAGGCTGAGGAGGAGCACTCTGAGCCGCTGATGAATGAAGAAAATGAGTGTGATAGAAAGAGGCTGAAGGAAGAAACCCCTACTTGTCAAAATGGGAGTAGGATGACGTCTCAAAGATACGAATAGAACAGCAAAGAACATTATTTAACACAATCTCTAAGAGTAAAAGAGAGCCCAAGAAAGGGAAATGAAGTGCAGTGATACCAATTTTCCAGAACAGGACTGATGAACAGGCCTTTAAATGAATACAGTATGAAGTGGATTGGCCGCAGCATGGGGTGACGGAAAAGAATAGTGGGGGGAAAGTTTAGAAAGGGAGATGAATAGCGAACAGTAGCAGCAAAGAGAGAAGGTTAAGAACACATTAAGTTTGATGTTTGCTTTTAAAGTCCTGAAAAGGATAAAGAAGATGTCATATTTCGTCCTTGAAGACTTTCAGGGGACAGCTCTGCAGAGAGAAAAGTGTGGTGCTTCACCACAGTGTGCTATAGACAGGTTGTGTACGATGTCTGTTTTGTTTTTTTTTTCCATTTCATATTTTTGTGTTTTATGTTTTTATGACAACCCTGACATAAATGACTCAACGTCCCCTTCCAATACTTGCTGATTAGTGTTTTCAGTGAACATAAAGCAACCATAGAAAAACAGAAAAGGACATAAGTGAAACGTTGTTCAATTCATTAAAAGGACTTTTAACATCAGTTATTTTTGCTTTTCATAACTATGTACTACAGAACTCACACAAAGAATTATTATTGTGCAACTTAAAAATATATAATTCTTTATCTTCATCAGATTACTTAGTTGGAGGTCAGAGGGGTAAATGTTACAGAGTTGTCATTGTGCCTTTCTCAAGGAAACAGTAACTGAAGCTGGAAAGAGAACAAAAAGTTATACACCTCGCTCTTAAATAGACTGAGTAAAGCACAATAACCTCTGATTTATGAGTGAAAGCTGACAGAGAAAAACCTGAAATAAAGGAGGAGCAAAAGCCGAAACAGAGATGATTTACAGGGTAATTATCTCAAGGAGGTGAGACTCCAAAAAAAATCTACAGCTGGTAAAATAAGTCCTGAAATATTAAGGTGCATGTAGTTCAATCACTGATAAAAGATTTTTCATTGTGTGGAACCCTGTTAGTCTCCTCATTTAAAGAGAATAAAGTAAATGTTTTAATTTTGACGCTTCACATTTCAAACTGTCACAGATTAATTCTAACATGCTCCGTCTGATGGGTTTAAGAAATAACTGCTGTTATGCGGTGTGCTGCTTTCCAATGTTTTCACCCATCTTGTGAATTTATTTAATTCAGTTTTACATACACTGATGGTGCAATGAAGTTAGTGGAAACTATTCCTGTTCAACAATATCCACAAGATGACACAATATAAATAAATGCGCAGTAAATGTGTAAAATGTTCATTAAAATCTCATCTAAGTAAATTGGGAAGTTTTGATACCGTGCAGAAAACTGATTTATTAACATAAAAAAACAAAATGAACTGGCTGCAACTTTATCATGCAACCGCAAAAGTGTTCTTCAAAAGAGTCAGGTAGTTTAATTTTAACTGAACAAGTTAGACTTGCCTCATTGTTTACTAAAAATATTGACTTGCAAAAACACATTTTCCTTCTTGCTGCAAGGAATTCATTCGGTTATCCCATGCCAATCCCTCTCTCTCCTCCAAAAAACTGGAAAAAAATAAATAAATAAATCATCCAAGCATTCCTGTCTATCTGTACTGCTGGCAGATCCATTTATGTGCAGAAACAGCCTGTGGATGCAAATGGTCAGATTATGGGTTTTTGTCACTGTTTGAGTTCCTTACATGCGTTTTGTCTGTTCATAACTTGACAGTTTGCTTCACCTGCTTGAAAGTATCTGGCAAACATTCTAATTAATTGAATGTGACTGTATTAGTTTTGTGTTACACTGTTGTTTCTTTAAATCATAGTCCTCAATAACTGTAAACTTATGTTATAAATTTAGTCTGTAGGCATTTTAGGTTTGGTCTAGTTTTAGTCAAGTGGATCTTCCTGTATTTTAGTCAGTTTAGTTGAGTGTAGTTTGATGTTATTGATACACTTATAAAAACCTAATTAAATAAAAAAAACCTATATGTACTATACTATAGAATATTGTTTTTCCAAGTCAAAATTACATCTTATGTTCCTCCATTTTAATCATATTTCGATTCCCGGATAAAATGTCGATCACTTTAGATATATTTTTAGGTTTTATTTTTTTTTTTTTGCTATGATTTTATTAGGCATTTAGCTTATCAAAGTTTAGTTTGCATGTTGAAAAACAGACCTAAACAGATTTTGTTTTGTTGTAAAAACAAACTTCATGTTACTTTGTGTTATTCTACCATGATAATTCCCAATAAAAAGCACCAAAGTTTGTGGTTTTAATGTGAGGAGAAAAAAAAAAGTTAAAATGATTTTGGGCAATTATTCCATTTCTGAGACACCTTCAAACCTTTTATGTGATTTCACATAAACAGTTTGTGAATATCAATGATTTCTGTACAGTGAGAAGAATTTTAATGACCCTCAAAGGCATCTTCCCTACACCGGTTACAGATGTAACTTATCAACTGTTCACATAGAAAGGGCAGATTGTTGGCATTGATTTCTTGCCTCCCCCTGAGAGAACCATTTTAAAATTGACAGCTCTCTGACCTTCTCAACAACACTGCACACAATTTGTGCTTGATAAATTACTGATACATGTAGATCAATATAGAGACACATTGCATAGTGTTACTTTACTGACACATTTATACTAATATTGATCTAATCAGTTCAATATGAGTGTAGCATTCGATCAAAAATGTAACTATATCTATTTCCTATTTTAGTGATTGATATTTGAATTAAGACTCCCTCCCAGTGAAACTCCAAATGGAGTAAAAGTTAATGGAAAATATGAAATTTGTCCAAGGAACAAGTAATCATTGCTGACAGGTGGTACTGCCTCACCTGTCAATGTAACAAGTAAAATAGGTACAAACAATGATAAGAGAAAATCAATATATCCACATGGCAATTCTGTCATTTGTTTTAATGTAAGTACCGTGCCTCACTAATAGGGGGCGATGCTGAGCCGCATAGACACAATGTGCAACAGGTGCTCTTCTTCTGGACATCGGAACGACTGAAAATAATCAGAAACATAGAAAAAAATAAAATAAAATGCAGTGAGAATGTGACTGTCCTCCTTGAAGCAGCTTGACTTAAAAATGAAAGGAAAATGAGAGACAAAGAGGACATGTTTTACAAAAATATGACAGATATATTTATGAAAGCGCATAAGTTCATCCACATTTTTAAATTTGAACAAAAAATAAAGACTAAAAAATTAAAAACTAAAACAAAAAAATAAACAAATTACAAAAGAAATGCTCTTATTTTTCTTGATGTTGTATTGTCAAGCAGAACAGAATTGATTAAAGCATAATTCAGACTCTCCAAATAACCAAATAATGTCAAAACTGGAAACTTAAGTTTTTATTTTGGATCTTGGGTTTGTGCATCTGACTGCGGATGAGTCAGTGCCTCACCAGACATGGACCTCACCACACGCCATGGGTAGAATGCCAGTCTGGAAATCTGAAATGTTAATTGCTATGGAGAAAAAATTGATTTACGAATCAATTCTGGCTATTAAATGTTAATACATCTTGCCATATGGGAGGCAGCGCACAATCAGCATGTTTTTTGTTTTTGTTTGTTTGTTTGTTTTTCTCTCCTTTTCTGCCTTTGGTTTTGTACATTGTGGCTTTCTTCCTCACTATAAGTGAACACATCCTGGCTCTCTTCCAGGGGAAACAACAACCTCATTTTCAGGCAGACCAGAGTTGCTTGTTTGGTTTGCTGCAGAGTCCAGATGAGTTTTCTTCAGGTGAAGGAAACAGTTTGAGGAAAAAACTCTTGCACGTCATAAGCAGACTAAATTGCTGTGGCGCAAAAGGTCTCCAAGGGTAAATGGTTAGTTAACAGTTTTTAAATTAAAGATCATTATATTATGTGTAGTTATTTTTGCAGCCTGCTCCATTTTGTTTTTCCTTCTCATTATTCAAATACTATAAGTGCTGCTGACCTGTGAAAATGCTTAAAATACACCACTTCTGCATTATTTGTATGTTGCAAAAAAGGGATTTAGAGCCACTGGCACTTCCACATTTTTGTATGGATGGATTGATGAATGGCTTGAAATATAACTGAAAAGTTCATTTATTTTACTAACTCAATTCACTAAGTGAAGCACATTATATAAAGTGATTAAATGTGATGTAACAGGCTGAGATTTTCAAGCCTTTATTCCTGTTAGTTATGGTGATTTTTTTCACTTACAGCTGATATAATCATATTAAACAACAAAAAAAAACATTTTAATAAAGAAATATGGGCTTGATGAAAAGTATGTTCATGATACACACACACACACACACACACATATATATATATACAAATCTATTCAATAAAGTATAATATTTCTGAAACCTAATTTATTTCAGCCACTTGATAACTAAGACAGATGCCTTTATTTATTTTAATAATCATGATTTTCCACTTATGTGTAATGATAATTTAACATTTAAAATTAGAATGTTGATTCAGACCATTAAACACTTCTTTAATAAAGAAATACGGGCTTAATACAAAATGTTAATACCTGTTTCAATTAGGGCTGTAGGATAATATTGATATCGCGATATATATCGATATTTTCTTTCCTAGAAAAAAATCGATATTCATCCACGAGTATCGTAACATCCAACTGTCACCTTGCTCACTCACTGCTTGCTTTACCAGGAGAGTGATTAGGTCATCAGGCTTAGAGTGATTCCTTCAGATGTTAAGTGTCAAGGTTAAAAAGGTATGAGACTATTCAGAGCAGGGTGCTTGGTGCACTTTATTTACTTTATAAATCCATGTAAGCTAGTTTGTACTGTTTCAATTAAAAGAAACATGTTTTCTCACCACTTCTTTGATTCTTTTTGTCCAGCTGTCGACTTTAAGTCTGTGTCCATGTTCAACCAGAGCCAGACATTGTGTAGTTGGTGCTTTTAATCAGTTTTCCGTTAAATTAATTCAATCCAACTCTATAACAGTCACAAAATATCACCAAAAT